TGTTATGAAGGAAAGGGATCTTGGTGTAATACTCGATCAGTCTCTAAAGCCATCCAAGCATTGTGCTGTTGCTAGTGGTAGGGCAAACAGGATTTTAGGTTGTATCTATAGAAATACTGAATACAAGTCTAAAGAGGTTATACTTTCATTGTACAGGTCACTGGTTAGACCACATTTGGAACATTGTGTTCAGTCTTGGGCTCCTTACCTTAGGAAAGACATTGAATTGTTGAAAAGGGTTACTTGAATGGTGCCTGGGATGGAGGGGTTGTCATACAAGGAAAGGCTGAAATCTCTCAAATTGTTTTCTCTTGAAAAAAGAAGAGTTAAGGTGGATCTGATTGAGGTGTTTAAGATTGTAAAGGGAATTCATAGTGATGGACCAATAGGTTCCATGTTGTCCCAAAATGTTATGTTATAAAAAAAAACAGATATTACAAAACAATGATTTGAAAAGCAGCCCTGCCTTCTTCAGACACGCAAAGAAGACAATTTTAGAAATGGAAAAAAAAAAGGTTAATATATTTTTTATTAGTATATTTTCACAATATAAGCATAATCAGTCAAACCCATATTCATTAATGAAAATAAACAATGCACAAGGTTTTAACATTTCAACATTATACTTGGGGGGCCATATAAAAATGCCATGTGTATTTAAACACGTCTAATATGGTATGTGGAAATGTTTTCACAGTATTAATCATAGCTAGAAGATTTACATGCAGTGAACATATTTATGACACAGATTTTCTTGTTGCCACAAATGTGATACCTTTCTACTGAATCTTAGGAGGTTTACTGCCTATTAATTACATATAAACAATGAATACTGGAAGAAACTAGCTCAAACTAGATGTAATGTTCTGTTCTCAGTTTATTTAAAGATAAAGACTGACAGAAAGCAAACTGCAGGCTTATTTTGCATGCTTACCATAATCTAACAATTGCACAAAAAACTTTAAGAATGCATATTTGATACAAATATACTTTCCAGATGAGCCCTTACACAACACATATCATGGTAGCAGAAATAATGCTTTTGTTTTCTTTGTTTCTTATAAATTGACTTCTTAGTCAGGTTCTCAATAAATCGTAATTACAACTAAAGACTTAACTCTTTTAATACGGGGTCAGTCAACGTGATGACCTCGTTACCATTTTGTGCTTGTTATAGTTTTCATACACAAAATCTTTATAATGTCCGGATAGTTATCAAACATTTCTTAAGAAAAAACATTATATTTTATCTGTTTGAACGATATTGCACCACCATAAAAAATTAGGAAATAAATATAAATTATGCCTCTTTCATTCTAGAATGAACACAAATTATAACACAAAAACATAAATGTTTATACTAAATAGCTTAAATTTCATAACATTATACATTTATATATATCTATTATTTTTATTATATTGTCCTTTCACCTGTGCCTGGCTAACAATACAGAAGTTATAATAACATAGCTCACATGCACTCATGTTACCATATCAAATAACATAAATCTGACCTTTGGCCTGTACAAAGTAATTTGTCGTGGCTGTGTTTTAGTTAACTAGTATTTTGTAAAATACAGTCACATTTTAATCATTATACATTATACATGTATATAGATTATTGCTACTTTGAAACAAGTTCTTAAATATATTTTTCTAAAACATAGAACAGTAAATAAAGAAGTACAGTAAACAATTATCTCTTCTAGTTACGACCTTTGTACTTGATTGCTGCTTGACGTAGGTTGCTAAGCCTATAAAAAATTTGCAAATGGACGATATGAAACAAAATATTTTTTTTTTAGGTTTATATATACACCTGAATAACTAAAAAAATCATAAATTACTACATCAATACCACAAAAATTTTGAGCAGACTACAGATACACCCTACCTCATTGAAATATTGGTTCAAAAGAAAGAAATGGCACCATGCCCATCAAAATGGCTGAGAAAGCCACTAGGGGGACGTTCTGAGATTTTGATTGGTTATTCATGTCATATATAGAAGTAATTTATATAAGGGAGCGTTCCAAAAATGGAAAGAGGTGGGCGGGGTGCCACTGTCTTTGATTAATTACATGAGCAATATCTTAGCAAATAGAAAAGATAAGACCTTCTTATTTTATATTCTAGCTTGTAAATATCTGTAACGCAAGTTTCTAATTTCATATGAAACTGTAGACTTAATATTTTGACTTCACAAACATCTAAATCGAACCAGTGTTGCATTCAACATAACACGTTACACACAAAAATAGATGTTTATCTGTGTTTTTTAAATATTTACTTTAAATTAAGAAATTGAGTAATGTATAGTTGTAAAATTTGAATTATAATCTAGAGTTT